ATAAATAATTGCCTGTTGTTTGCACTATATAAATAATTTAATAATATAATCTCTATGTAATAATATAATAATACTTGAAATGCTTTTTTTTTAAACATAAATATTTTTTTTATTAGTAAAATTTGCCAACATATTAACTTCTAAGTATAATTATAACCAGATTAATATTTCAAAGTAAACTATATTTACTTACCTTTATAATTTTTCGGGGAAAATATTCACATCAAATATTCTAAATATAATATTTGTTAAATTTCCATCTACTATATTATTTTATGCATTAAAGATTTAAAAATATTTGAAAGAAATTAAAATTTTATTGTTATTTAAAATAAAATTAACCAAGTAATAATGACTATTGATGTTTGTGCTATTAATATACGTGAAGAACCAAATGCATAATATGATTTAAGACGTAAAAAACGTTAGCAATGTAGCGATAAAGTATTGTCTCTGATCGAGGATCGAGATACAATTATTTAAATACTTTCGTACATTCAAAAGACTGATTCTAGGAACATCCTATATTAATAACGATTTTTGTGTATCATATTGTTTATTTAACTTAGATGACTACAATACTCTAATACAGGGGTCGGCATTTAAATTCTATGGAAGTCCAGAAAATTAAAATTAAATTTTCAGGACCAGTAAAAACTCAGATACCTATTAGTTAATAATTGTTGTGTTATCGCAACTATTATTGTAAACAGCGATAAACGATAAACACCATCGTAATCTCTAAATACATCATAAAATAGATAAAATTTAATATATATTATGTGTGGAAAACCAGCATTATTAAAAAAAATATTTTTTGTGGTCCAATTATTTTTCCAGATGAGATGGAATAGACAAATATGAACAATTAATTGTAATTTTATAAAAAATGTATATTATTAATAAATATGGTTAAAAATATTCTGTATTGCAGTATATTAGTAAATCTTATTGATAGGTTACTGCCTCTTCTTTCTCCCATATGTGTATGCATATTATTACAATTTATTCCTATATTATAATCTATACAAATGTACGTTGTTTGAATTTAACAAACCAAGTAAAGACGATTTCGTACTTGGTACTTAATCACTGGATAAATAGCCACGTAGATAACGATGTACCTAAAGACAGTTGCCATTGTCGTAATTACAGATAGGTATGTCATATGAGATATCAATAACACGATAAACACCTTTATCAATCATAAAAATAAAATGTAATTCACCTATTATATACATTTATAGTACATAACTTTATTGTTTTAATTTTAATTTTAGTATAATATTAATATATTTAGAAGTTAAATTTCAATTCAATTTAATAACATTCTACATCAAAATGATAATAATTATTATACAGTGTAGAGCTGTTAAAGCGTTATTAAGATTTGAAATTGAAACATCTAGTTATTAATTAATTTGATTGTAACTCTGAAAATCTAATAATAAAAATTGTTGTTAACTATTTGTACTTGTTCATGTTTACATGATAAATAATTAATGACCTTTACTAAGTATAAAATTTTCATTAATTTTCAATTCATATTTAAAACCGCAATAAAATTATAGATAAATATTCAACAATAAATCTGTAAAGAATAGTGAAGTATTTAAACATTTCATGGATATTTACGTTACAAGTTGACACGTTGTAATATTATAATTTCAGTTACTCATTCAGTCTCTCAGAATCTATTGTTGGATAGTCTGCATATAATTATATTTAAAGTTTATATTTTTTCAATGAAATTATAATACATTATGATAAAATAAATGTATTTAATAAATAAAAATAATTTATATTACAAAATGTGAGTGGTACTGTAAGCGCTATCTAGTTTAAAATTTCAATAAAATATTTGTTTTAATTTCTTATATCTCAATAATTGGCCGCGGTAGTAGTCTTAATAATTTAAAAATCGTTTTTTCTCAATAAAATTAATGTACACATTTAGCATATAAATTCAATTTTTATAATTTATTATAATATGTTCTCTCAGGTTGACCTGCGTTAAACTTAGAACCAAAACTTCATAATAAGGAATGAAAATATGTTATTTGCTTATGTCTATTAATTATTTAATAAATATTTCAAATCCTTAATACAGATTATGCGAAAATATAGCTATCAATCAAGTTTTTATTAAAAATAATTTAAGAAATCTACAGTTTTTCTAAATACACGTTGAAATTAAAGGATTTTTCATATCCACGCATAGATGTTACAAAAAATACAAAATACAAAATTAAGCTTAATATGTCATGTTAAAAAAAAAATTGAAAAAACATAAAATACGTAATTATTGTCGTATGAGCAACAAAAAAAATGTAATTTATATTAATATTTTAGTTGAAATAATTTATATCTACTGTATTAATATATCAATTTACTAGGTATTTAACAATTTAAACGAGTACCTTATAGGCTAATACAAGGGCCGGATTAACGTATAGACAGGGTAGGCACGTGCCTAGGCTAGATAAAAGTGGCCATTAAAGGAAGCTATTTTTTTTTTTTTTTTTAATAGTGGCACACAAATATCTTAAATCTTTTTAATCTTAAATACGGTTCTTTGATTACGCCTACAGCCTTAGACCCTACACAATGAATGGAGCCATGTCTCGATATTTTAATGCACATAATAGGCACTATTCACACGTCTATGAAGTTGGCCCCCCGACTTTTTCCTATAATTTCCGAATCAATCCTGAAATTTAGTAACCCCTTAGCAACTAATAGAAACCGACATCACATAATTTGTAACCGAACAGCTTCCGAGAAAACTCAATTTTCATTTCAGGGAACCTTATTAATATCATTGTACGATTTAGATACCTGTGTGAACTTTGTAACACTACATTAGTAAACATAAATTCAAACCATCCAACAAAATTGTTGCTACTTTGTCGGACACTGTTAGAACATTTTAACATTTAAAATCTATAAAAAATACTTATACTGTATAAAAGTAATATATGTTTTTTGACACTGACTGAAAAAAGTACTTAATATCATGAGGATGCATAGGTACAAAAAGGAATTATATGTACCTAATTATATTTTGTTATTTTGCAATTCATTCACAAGATTTTTCTTTTGCTTCACAATGTAATATTTATCTCAATAATATATCAAAATTTTGATATTTAAGTGTGTTTAGTCACATTATCCAATTTAATTTATTTAAATTGTATACGATATCGATTTTAGAGCATAATATTCTAAACTATTATTTGTAATATAAATAAAATTAAAAATAAATTAGTAACTAGAATAATATTTTAGTTACTTATGTATTTTATAGTCTTCCTTAAGTTGTATAGAGTTTAATTTAATTTTATTTTATTTTATTTATATCACATTTTAAAATAAAATATCAAAACTAAAAATGTTATTGAGTTGGTTAAAATAATATTAAAATGCAATAAAATTAATAATAAAATCATATCGCTGTTTTATTTAAAAGGAAATTACATGAAATGTAAAAAATAAATAAAATATGAAAACTATAAAATATGTAAAATGATAAAAAAAAAATCAATAAATCATATTTTTCTGTTGGTATTAAAATTAAATATTAACGTATTACATGTAATGTGTTTTTGCAAAGTGAAAATCATTTTATTTAGGTAATGCATTATACTTTATTTATTATTTTAAATTGTTGTCAACTATTTGAGTTTTTTCTGTAATCGATAAGAAAAAGACACATCGATCAACCGGCCGCCGTCTCAGCCCGTATTGCTCAAACAAAATAATTATAAATAGAATTCTAGCATGTATCGATTATTCATTTCTTATCTTATTTATTTTTTTACTTGGTGAACAAACGATTAAAAACATGCAAATCACTTTTAACTGAATCATTGTGGCAACGAGTTTTAATTTTATTTGAATTTCATTAGACGTAACTATGTAAGTGCTCTTAATTTAATTTTTAAAATATTTTTATTTATTATTAGTAGGCAACGAACTTTATTGTAAATACATAATTTTATTGGAATGAGATATTTCGAATCTGATAAAAAATGTGAACGATTTAGATCATTCTAATTAAAATAAACCCAAATTTATTTTACCTATTTTTACATATTATGTTATAAATACATATTTTTATATAGGTATTTAGTAAATTAGTACATATTTTGTATATACTTTAGTAATTTTTGATTTTTTTATTAATTTTCGAAGATCATAAATATTATCTGCTTCGTTTAAATTAACAAGATAAGTAATTTTTGACGACCAACAAATATTATACAATATCTAAATGGCATTTCGATACTGAATCGACTACAGCTATTGAAAAATCAAATTCACCGATACGCAGGCACGGATTGGGCCGGCGGGACGTCGGGAGTTTTCCCGGTGGGCCGGTCTCTGTGTCATAATTTTTTTTTTTTAGAATAACAGATTTTAATAATAATTATAAATTTAAACCATATTTAGCACGGACTATGATACACAGTATATAGTCCGTGTCCGTGATGTGTAGACTACTCATAGCGTATAATACTAAAATACTCTATAAGACTGTATTATTATCATATTTTATTGTTTATTCGTTGACTGATTTGAATTTAATCAGTTAAAACTTGTAAGCATGGTTAAACTGTTACCTACAGTGAATCCATGGTTATCATGGATAACACTATCTTTAATCGAGGTTTTAACATAGACCTTTTACGGTAATATTATACCGTATAAGTTAAAAATAGTTTGACTATAATAGTTTATGTAAAATATCCCGAAAGATAACACGATAACGTCACGCAGTGGCGTAATAAGGAATTTGGTTTGGGGGGGGGATAATAGGTTTTAGCATTATCTGTACACCTCATACAGTAACCCCCCCCCCTCACCCCACCAGAACAAATTTTTTTTTATTATAGTTATTAAAAAATACAATTTATTAGAAAATTATTTATTTTATAACTATATTAATATATTATACAATATACAATTTAAGTATTTATGATATTTTTAGGTAGCTTGAATAATTTTACAAAACTAGATCCAATTTTCTTGGTCTTTTAGCAATATCATCTAATACATCTTCAGGACTAACTTTAATGTCTCTATGGACCGCCAACATACTTAACCCATTTAACCTATCCTAAAAATGATTTAAATAATTAATTGTCAGTATTATTAATTTGAAATATAAATCAAATTTTAAGAGCTACTTACTTCAGTCATAGTATTCCGTAGGTATGTTTTAACTCTTTTTAGAGCTGAAAACATACGTTCAGGAGTAGTGGTAGATACGGGTAATGTACACAATATTTTTAATAATAAATAAATGTTAGGGTATATCTCTTTGTTGCATTCTGTAAGTGCATCAATCCCAGTTTTAGGTATACAGCTAGTTCTCCTGAGTTTTGTTCGCCAAAGTCTTAACTCTGTTAATGAATTATTTTTGTCTACCTGAGGAGAATAAAATTCAACTAACTGCGTAAAATGTAATTGATCATCTTCTGTGAAATGCTCATTACTTGAAAACAAACATCCAAAACCTGATAAAAAAAATATTATTAGTAAATTTACAATTTCAAAAATATTTTAGAATTTTTTTTTACCATTAAATACTTTGGAATGTGATAAAAATCGCTCAGTTAATTGACTTATAAAAAAATCAATGTATGAAATAAACACAGTTATTTTAAAATAATCATTTACACTTATGGTTTGATCAGTTAATGGGTTAGCTCGATTGGTTTGTCTTTTCCCCAATCTTTTATATTTTAACTCTACCTCTACCTTATCAGCCATTTTCTATAAAAAACGATTATAAAATAAAACACATAGTAGATACCATAAACATTAAACAAATGCGCTGTATATTGTATATTTACCTTTGCTTTTGAAAATATGTTATTAAATTCATCATCACAATTATTTCTAATTGTCTTCAATTCATCAACAGTGTCTTGTGCTAAATTGATAGCTTCCTTTAAATCAATATTTATTTTTTGCAATTGTTTACATAAGGGTAATCCGAATGAAAACATAAGCTAAAAAAATCATGAAAAATAAAATTAATTTAAAGCTTATTTTATTATAAAGTTAGGTACCAAGGTTAAACTACCAAAATAATGTCTCATTTTAAATACTTATAAATAAAATATTTTTTTTTTTTACCTGAACAATATTAACAGAAATAATGAATTCTGAGTCAAATGATTTTAAAAGTAATGTTGCATCTGTAGCTGAAGAATCATTCCATTCGGTTATACACTCTAAAGCGTTTACTAAAAATTCAAAAAGTTCAATAAAATCATGAACAGAATCATACCGCTGTACCCAGCGCGTTGCACATAACCTTTTAAGTGTCTTAACTTTTTGATCAGTATTGCTATTTTCAATAGCTGACAAAAGTACTGCATTTCGTTTCGGAGTATTGAAAAATACATATAATTTTTCAATAATTCCTAAGCAGTTTCTAACTGGCTTAATATTACTAGCAGTTGAAACTGCTAAATTTAGAGAGTGGGCTGCACAATGCACATAAATTGCTTTAGGGTATTTGGATCTTATATGTGCTTGTACACCCTGAAATTGACCAGACATGTTACTTGCTCCGTCATAACCCTGCCCATACAAAAAATCACAATCTATTCCACAACTTATTAAACCTATATATAAAATTGTAAAACAGTAACATTTTAGTAAATTAGAACATTAAGTAGGTAATAGGTATACTATGAACTCAAATCCCAAATACAATTTACCATTCAAAATAGAATCTGCCAAGTTTTTTCCAGATAAGCTATGCACTTGAATGAACTTAAGAAAGCTTTCATTAACATTGTTTTCTTTATCAATATACCTAACACACAGAGCAAGCTGTTCAGTCACAGATATATCTGTGGTTTCATCAGCTAAAACTGAGAAGCACTGAGAGTCATTAACTTTTTTTACGATGGTTTGTAATATTATATTTCCACAAGATGAAATAATTTCGTTTTGTATTTGTGGTGTAATATATTTATTACGACCAGGTGTTTGAAGTATGCTGGTTAAATGTTCATCACCGTTACTTCTATACAACAAAATTGACCTGAAGTTTCCCTGATTAGATGTGTCATGAGCTGTAATACAATTTAAAAATAAAAATAAAATTAACATATTCAAACTGAAACATACAGGGTTATTAATATTATTAATAATCTTAGATAAAATTTACTAACTAAAAATATTGCCAGCATCCCTATGACCTCGTAAGGCAATTTCCTGGCGGCCACATAAAATAATACATTCAATTATGGGAATAAGACGTTTTCTATTTTCTTTGATTTGCTCTACTCTAATTTAGACATTTACAAATATAATTAATTATCTATAGGTACATCATCAATTATCATCAATTAAATGATATGACATACCTACTAGAATCCAATCGGTTTATTATTTTTGGTTCAAGTTTGGAGTACACCTTTAAAAAATGATCTGCATCCAGAGTAGAGGATGTATGGTAGATCATTTCTGAATGTTCACGAAAGGCCTAAATGTAATGCATATTTTATTTTTATGACAAGTATAAATGAAATAAGATAATAACCTGTTTTGCCTTTTTCCATGCATCAAAAGGTGTTTTCACAAAATTTCCTAAAGGTTGCCTATTTTTTCCACCAACTTTTACAAAAATCGTGCAATACTTGCAAAATGCTCCACCTTTCGCTTCTGAGTAAGCTAATCAATTAAATTCCAAAAGCCATTTAAATTGAAATCGCAGCTTACGCTTTTCATTTTTTTGACTCAATGGAAAAGTATAATTTGAAGGTGGTACCCACAAATTTGTAAGTATCTACAAAAATAAGACGCTTATAATATAAACATTATTATATAAACATTTACAATTTTATTTTATTATAATATAATAAAATAAAATTATATATTATTTATTATATTATTTATTATATTATAATATAATAAAATAAAATTGTAACTGTTTATATTTGTGTAATTATTTTTTTTTATTAAAGACTACCTAGTAGTTTTAATTTTTTAGAGAATTTTAAAGCAAGCTTACTAAATATTTATCAGCATCAGACAAATAAATTTGGTTCACAAAGTAACCAATATCATTGAAGCGATGAAGTGTGTTTAAGCTGTCAATCTTAAAAATATGTAATGTACAATACAAATAAATAGGTTATTACTTATTACATACTACATAGGTATGAATGTGCAATAATTACATTTTCAAATTAAAGTACAAATTTCTAAATCAAATAATAAATATAAAGTCAAAAATGTATTTGTTACATTTGTAAGCCAGACACCAGTAGACAATACCTAACTCATATAAGCTCATACTCATACATACAGTCTCAATTTGAATAATTTAATTGATAATGTACTTGTACTACAATATGTCAATATTGTATTACCTAAGTATATTAATTGCATTAATTGTTATTAAATTCTTACCTTATTTAAAGAAGTATCATGTATCAACTTAGATTCATTTTCTGTGTTTTTAATAACTTCTTGGGTAACACATTCATTAATCTTAGATTCACTTTCTGTGTTTTTAGTAATTTCCTGGAAAAAACATTCATTAATCTAATAAATAATAATCACATCCAAGCAATTAGAAAATAGATTATTGAGTAGGTATAATTTAGTCATTCTCACCTTGGTATGATCATCAACTACAATTTTATCACATGAATTGTTTTTTTTGACAAAATAAGATGCAAAAGTGTTTTTCCTTTTTTGTTCCATCATATAACTTAACGTAATAACGTTTGAATAATCAAAAAGAATATTTCATATGAATAATATGTACAACAAGTATTACCATTACCATTTACTGTTTAGTGTTTACTATTTACCACCTAGTACCTACAACTGGCTACTAGTGACAACTGACAATAAACGATTAAATACGAAACTCGTATACGGTTGTAATGGTTGTATTATATAATATAATCAAAGAAAATACTTCCCATTAGAAAAAAGTATGGTTCACTGTTCAGGGTTCTATTGTGCATTGGCATTTGTATACTTGTCAATGCGCGCTAGCGCACGTGTGCTCTCCGGCTCTCGACAACAACCCGCATGTTTTATTTTAAGAATCGGAAATACAAGTATACAAACGGTCGGTCTGTCGGGATTAACGTAGGCCGCGTTGAAGTATCATATAATAATAAAAGTAATCGTAATAATAATAATAATAATAATAATAAAAGTAATCGTAATAATAATAATAATCATAATTTATAATAATCATAGTACCATCACTATAATAAAAAAAAAAAACATACAAAAAAGTTTTGGGGGGGGGATCCATCCCCCTAATCCCCCCCCTAATTACGCCCCTGCTGCCGGACGGTCGTTGATTGGACTTGATGTATACAAAAACACTTCAGAACGATAGTAAATGCACTCAGGATTGCACTCATACCAATCTCAGAGCTCTAAGTCCAAAGCCTGATTTTATACGATTTTTTGAACTGGTTAACTCTTGATTTACCGCCAGATTGCAATGCAAGCTGGCGGTAATATTATACTTACCTTCCGGAAGGCCGTTATTTGGACTTGATGTATACAAAAACACTTCAGAACGATAGTAAATGGTCTCAGGAATGCACTCATACCATTTACAAAGCTCTAAGTCGAATGCCTGATTTTATACGATTTTCCAAGTACGAGTACTATCGCATTACGAAAATAATGAAATGTTTCAAAGGGGGTATTAGAACATCCTATTTTGATATGTCGCTGAAAATTCACCAAAATCAATTCTTGTACTATCTTTATAAAAATTGCATCATTAGATAGGTAAATGCGTTGGCTATTCGTGTACAAGTTTCAAAAATAAGGACTAAGAATTACGGCGCCAGAACTTATAACTGAAAACAGAAATAATCGAACTGCAATTCTCCGGTAAATCATATACTTCTGCCGGACGGCCGTCATTAGGACTTGATGTGAAAAAATACTACAGAACGATAGTAATGCACTCAGGAATGCACTCATACCACTTACAAAGCTCTAAGTCGAATGCCTGATTTTATACGATTTTCCAAGTACGAGTACTATCGCATTACGAAAATAATGAAATGTTTCAAAGGGGGAGATTGAGAACATTCATATTTTTGGTATGTCCGCTTTGAAAATTCACCAAAATCAATTCTTGTACTATCGTTATGAAAGTCACATGACTACATAGGTAAAAGCGTTGGCTATTCGGTGTACAAGTTTCAAAAATAGGACTAGATTACGGCGGCCAGAACTATAACTGAAAAGAAATAATCGAACTGCAATTCTCCGGTAAATCATATACTTACCTGCCGGAAGACCGTTATTTGACTTGATAACCAAAACACTTCAAAACGATAGTAAATGCACTCAGGAATGCACTCATACCACTTACAAGCTCCAAGTCCAAAGCCTGATTTTATACGATTTTTTGAACTGGTTAACTCTGTTTAACCAAAAGTTTACGTATCACAACATATAAAAGTGACAAACATATCAAAGGCCTTGCCCGATATGAATATCAAATAAATCGGAAACAACAGTTTTATTAGAGCGACAAGTAATAAGTAAAATCGTCATTTAACAAAGATTGTGCGAGGCTTTTATTTCTGCTAATCATTCCTTTGAACAAATTAGAAACCAAAATTCAAAACATTTTTGGAAGTATATACAAAAAAATGATATTCCGAGTGAATTCACGTTGCGAAAAGGATATGTGGATGATATTTACAATAAGACCATGGATAAAATTAGGAAAATAATTTCTGACAAAAAAATTTAGATTAAATGTAAATAATTAAAAAAATAGTTTATTCAAGGATAATGTTGTTTAATATAATTTTGTATATCTGAAGCCTGAACGTAAAACTTTAATTTTGAAGCGGTGAATTTTGTTTGTAAGGTAGGTGGATTTGAAGAAGGAATTTGGATGATAGTTGAATTTTGAAGCATTTCGATGATTTTGTCAACGGATAATTGAGAGTCCTGGCTAAGTTTTGGCAAAGTTTGAAGTAAGTTGTATATATCTTGTTTGTATTTTTCAGCTTTTTCTTGATATATATTAAATATTGTGTCCAAAGATGTAATATTGAAATGATTGGTTAGTATTGACTTTAAAAAATTTTTAATGAAGATTGATTTTTTTTGAAATTTTTGCATTATGAAATTCTGATTTGTTGCAGGTTTGTGTTTGGCAGAGGTCATTGAGGAAATTGTTGTTGGAAGTTGAAACAAACACATAATTATATACATTATTTATATTTAAGAACCATTGCAGATGTTTCTAGACAAACAAATAAAATTACATTGTAAAAAACAGCTGTCGTCATGTATGTATCTTTTGTTATGTATATTATGTCGTTTACTATAGCTAAATTTTTAAATTTTTGAATATAGTTATATATATTTTGTTTATTGGGTTCGTATATTTTGTAACTATGATATTCTTGAAGTGTCAAATAATTTTCATTAACCAATTTAACTAATGTTTCTTTTAGTGCAGGTTTTTGAATAAAAAAATATCTGATAATGCACATTATTATTTTAATGTGATTGTATATATTAGATAACTAAGGAAAAGAAAAATTTAAGTCATTAATACATTTTAAATAATTATGTAGTAACAGACAGCATTTTGTAAAGGTAATGTTATGAGTTCTTATGATAATATTTTTAAATTAAAAAAAATGCTGTCTTATAAATATCTAAACATTATTAACATACTGTGTACTTTTGAGTAATATTTAAGTTTTCATAATATATATAAACACAAGTCAATACTAATACTGTGTTGTAATTGTCGATATTTGGATCTGGGATAAAGAATTCAATGACCGACTTGTCATCAATTTGAATTGTGACATCCGGAACCCTTGTTGTTAACCTGTTTTTTATAAATTAAGTTATTACATTATTTATTTTAATTATTTAGGTTATGTGATAGAATATTGAATTTTAAAATTTACTTTGTGTTTTTATAATTTAGATCAATAAATGGATACATCCACCATGATTCTATTGCCATAATGAATTCATAAAATTGTTTATCCATTACATACAAATGGTTACAATTTATGTATGGTAGACAATTCATGATGGCGTTGTCTTTGTCATCTACCAACCCCTTTATTTGTTGATAGTAAATTTCTACATATTTGATGAATATATTCAGTTGTATTAACATTTTTTTTTGATTATAGATTTCTTCTAATGTTACCACTTCACACAATTGGACACTGAAACATGAGATGCAAAATGATTGAACTACTCAAATTAGGTATTAAGATATATTACAAAATGTGACTTACTCATGAAGAATATCAGGGGAGTAATATATAATACAGCTGAAAATGTAATCTATGAATTTTATTGAGGTGGCCGATTGCAGGAGATTGTTTATGTTGAATGTATTATGTATTGAGGGGGATGGAGTGTTAGTTTTTAAAAAAAAGTTAAGTTCGGAAATGGCTGATGGTTTTTGATTGTTGATTGGAGGATTAGTTAAAAGAAATTTACAATATTGTTTAACGGCTTCACTTTTAAGTATGTCTATTGTTGATTTTTTAATTATAGCTATTTTTTTTTCCCTATTTTTTTATCTATTTTTTTAATCGTGAATCTTGATGTTATATTATTTAATGTGTGAGGCTCTGAATCCACAATATATTCAGCAAGCCCCTCTGCCTCTACATACTGTATAATATTATCTATATTTTTGTATCTTGAGAGTATCTGTAAATAAATATTGTACAATTATTTTTATTGTGAAATTGTATATATATGTATATTATTATAATTGTTACATACATTGATTTTTTGATATATTAAGCTTTGAATTGTACTGCACTTCGTATTTAAAATAAGATTAAATTTCTCAATACTTTTATTTCTTGAACCGTAACTGATTAATAAATGTAAAAGACCTATTGATGTTATATTTTTGTTTTGGGGGAACTGATGGATAGTACTTGCAATCATATTTAACATATTCTATTAAAATAAAGAAAACACCATTTAGTAATAATAATATTACAGTAATATTTGTAAAAAAATTGCCATCTTTATCTGTTTAAAAAAAAATAAAAAATTGTTTACCTTTGAATTTTCTCTGCCTACACATGTTGGTTGCTTTAGTGGGAAATGTACCTGATGAAGGTGGTAAAGGAAAGTTGTTTCATAAATACATTTTTTATTGCAAAATGAACAACATATAAACATGAATTTAAGTTTTTTGTCGGAATGACTAACACAGTCATTTACAGCAAGGTTAACTAAAACAAATAATTTAAAAAAAATCTGGTATTTATTTTGTATATTATACATTTATTATAACTAATTATATTATATTATTATTCTTTCATATTATATAAATTAAACTAACGCTAATGGCCCATAGTATTCTAAGCGAAAATTTAAATTCTATTTAAATTTCAAGACCAATAAAAAAAAAAAAAAAAAAAAAAAAAAAAAAAAAAAAAAAAAAAAAAAGAAAGAAAGAAAAGCGGATAAGTGGGTACCGCACTGCTGTACATTCGGGGGTTGGGTGGACCTCTGACTATGGTAGGTTAAATTTGAATGCAATGATAGGTACAATAATTTATTTTATTATTTCAATACCAATGCACTTATTTGGTCTTGTTACAACGACATTT